GGAATGAATTATAACCCACTAAACAAAATTTATACCAGATTTGGTCAGTGAGAAGACCTTCAAACTGGTCCTCTGACAAAGTTTTGCACAACCTTGTGTTTGGCTACAGTAAACTGTTCCAGGTCATCCTGTACCATTCTGCCCAAGCCCTGAAACCAGGTAGTTCTCCAAAAAGCTCTGGTTCCTTCAAGTGTTGGCATTTGGTTATAAACAGGAATCTGGGTGGAGTTTCTTTAATTTTGAATTTAACATCATACAAATTAATACATTTAAATTTTTATAAAGCACCATGTTTATAGCTTATTTAGCTCATCTCCACAATCTCTCTTTCTGGCAAAAAGAAAGGAAATATTTTTAAGCTTTAAAAATTGTTTTTTTCTTATTTAATTGAATATAATTAGTTCTTGCCACAATTGTTAAGAAAGAACATTCTCTGCAACAGCTAAGTCTCTAGATAGCTGCTACAGTATAACCTAGTCTCAAAAGAAATTTATGAACTGGGCTTTGCTAACGAAGAAGGATACATTTGAATCATCTGTAGGAAAATGGATGCGCCTTGAGACCATGATGTTAAGTGGAATAAATCAGACATGCAGCTCAAATGTCACACAGTTTCTCTTACATGAGATACAAATAAAGAGCAAAATAAAGAGAGAGAATTGGAAACAGGGACATAGATCTTCTGCAGGTGGGAAGGGACCCAGAGAAAGAGGGAGGGAAAAGAAAGTGACAGAAGAACAGAGATGCGTGTGCATTCCTAGCTCCCCATGGGAAATGCGTTCATTATGTGCTGCAAGCATGTGGTAATAAAAATAAAAGTTTAAAAGAAAAAAAAAAGGAATTCGTAGGCTGGGAATGTAGCTCAGTGGTACAAAGCTGGCCTAGCATACACGAAGCTGAGTTCAATCTCCAGTACTGTGAAAGAAAAAAGGAATTCATGATGAAAGACTGCATAGATTATGAAAGACTGTAATCTCCAGAACTCTGAAGATAAATATAATAAAGCATAGGACGTTGCATTGAATTCATTTCAAAGAAATAAAATCATATAGCTTATGAAATTACATTTTTTGCAGTCAGATGTGAGTCATAAAAGAGATTTTTCCTCTTACAGGGTATAACGCATTGGAAAATACAGCGGTGGCACTTCACATCATTTTTATGTATGTGATAAAGTTAGGTGAACTAGAAAATGTTTGAAATAAGCACAGCAATTTCTATTTTAACTGAATGAAATGATATATTCTGTCTCTTGATAACAGTTGCTTTAATACAATATGCCTTTGAAATCCCGAAGGTGAAATAAATAGAGATGATATTTTATGAGAGGGCCTTTTGGGGAAAGACATACTTAATTTCTTTGTTGCATATATGGTGTTTACTGTTCATTCCCAATCCCACCCCTGCATGAGAATCATCCAAGACCTTTATAATTCAGGTTCCTTAACACCATCTGGTTCACTGAAACTGTATACAGTATCCTATGAGTCCATAATCTATATTTAAAAAATATTCCCAAGGAATGCTAAGATATTTGATTAGCAAACTGGTTTGGGAACTATTGCACTTGTCCAAAACAAACTCCTGGTTCAGCCTCCCAAGTGCTGTGATTACAGGCATGCACCACCAGCACATCTGGCAAAAAGATCTAGTTTATAGTATATTTTTACCTTAGGAGAAACCTAAGAAAACATAGTTAGGTTTTACCTAAGAAAACATAGTTGGTCCTCTGTTTCTGTGGGCTCTGCATCTGTGGATTCAACCACCCAATGATTAAAATTACTGTCTTCTCTCAAGTTCTGCAGACATTCCCCCCACCCAGTTATTCCCTAAACCAGTGATGGCAAATATTTTAACAAATGTCCACACTACAACCACAAACCTACTCATTTACTGCACAGTGCCAACACTACAATTCGACTTCAATACTGAGGGTTCAGTTTGGAAACAACTCATACGTTAACATCTTTTTCCCTAAAGGTAAAACATTTGTTGCCTATGCATGCCATAGGTGTACCACCACTGTCATAAACAATACAGTAATTATGCACATAGCGTTTACATTGTGTTAAGAATTACACAGATGAAATTAAATTTTAAAAAAATATAGAGATGATTTAACATATCCCAGAGTATATTCACATATCGTATGTAACTCCTATGCCACTTAATATAGGGAACTTGAGCATCTGCAGATTTCTGTGCACAAGAGGTCCTGAGACTCTCTTCTCATGCATACCGTTTACAAGCTGCTTAATAGCAGGGCCTGAGCTTATACATTTTTATAAGTTGTTATAAGTTGAACTTTTATAAGTTACACTTTTTATGAGACTTGTGTAAAGATATAATAGATTATTTTTTTAAAAAAATTACTAAGTAGGTCTGGGGAGATAGCTCAGCAGTCCAAATGCCTACCTGGCAAGCACAAAGACCTGAGTTCAATTCTCAGTACCATATGCCATGCTGGCCCCATGTACACGCCTGTAATCCCAGTGCTGGGGAAGCTGAGACAGGAGGATCACTGTGAGTTCAAGCTACATAGCAAGACTCTGTACAAGAAAAAAATTTTTTTCACAAATTCTGAAAAGTGGATTTTTGTTCAATATTTATATACTAATTTAATTTTCTGTTTTGCTTTTTTTTTTTTTTTTTTTGTGGAACCAGGGATTGAACTCAGGCTCTTGCGCTTGCCAGGTAAGCACTTATTCTACTGAGCTATCTCCCCGGCTCCTGTTTTGCTTATTTCTGAAGTTAACAGTTAATTTAGTTACTATTGGAGGTTTCATAAGCCTCCCAAGTTCTCTGTAGTCATTTATGATGCAACTTAAAATTCCTCTTTTTTTTTCCAAATTATTTTTAATCACTTATTTATTTATTTATTTATTTTGTACAGGGTCTTGCTGTGCAGCTTGGACTCAGGTGATCTTCCTGTCTCAGCCTCCCTAGTGCTGGTATTACAGATGTGCACCACAACTCCTGGTTATTGTGGTGGCACAATATACTTGGGGTTCTGGGGCCAGTATGACATGTGGTATTGGGGATTGAACTCGGATCCTTGCATTTTCCAGGGAGGCACTTAGACCACTGAGCTATTTTCCCAGCCCCTGAAATTCCTATTATCGCAGTTAATGGAATATTGACTGACAAGGATAACTTGCTAAATTTCTATAATTATGTAGGGAAATTTTTGTTGAGAACCAAACTTCTCACATAAGACAGAACAGAATCTCAGTAAAGGTATATTTTGATAGCTACAAATCAGCGAAGATTTGTAATGGTCATGGAAACAATAGATCAAAGCACACTGCTTTGATGTCCTTCAGATTAGGAGTCCCTAGCTCTAGCATTCACTGTATTACGTAGAGGGCTTAGCCTGTTTCCACACCTGTAAATGAACAGAAATAGTACCCCTTCCACAGGTTGGTTGGAAACCAACAATGGGTTGTATATAAAGTGCAAGTATAGCCTCATGAAGGTAATAAAAAAATCTGCTCTTTTAGGTTACTAGGAAGAGTCACCTGAGAAGAAATGGCGAAACTATTTTCTTCACAATATGACACTGATGATAATTGCTTTTAAAAAAAATATTTAGGGCCAGCCAGATAGCTCAGCGAACTAAAGTGTCTTCTTCAGGAGAGGGCAGTAAAAGGGGTTCGATCCCCAGTATACCGCGCCAGTCCTGCCCCCACCCCTGCACGCTGAGACAGTGATTGAGACTGGGCCTGGTGGAGCACGCCTCTCATTCCAGCACTTGGAAGGCTGAAAACAGGAGAATCACTACGAGTCTGATCTACGTAGTGAGACCCTGCCCTAATTTATTATTATTATTATTATTTAAATCTTGTTTCTCACTATGCTCCCTAGGTTGGCCTTCAAGCCTGGCCTCAAGAGAATCTCCTGCCTCAGTCTGGTAATACAGGCACAAGCCACCGAGCACAGAGCAACAGTGTCCTCTCTCTCATACATTTTGGTCCTTATTTACACTTTCAGCTTCTTACAGCAGAGAAACAATGTGGTATTTCAACATGTTTCTGTTTTATTACACTTAAGAGTATGGCCTCAAGATGAATCCTTTCAGCTACAAATGGCTCAAACACATCCTTCCTCATGGCAGGATACTCAATTGTATAAAAACCCCACATCTTTATTCATGTTGATGGGCATTTGGGCTTCTACAGCTCTGTTAAATAGAACAAGTTCTTACTTTAAAACTCTGTTATGATCATAATATTTTCATTTTATTTCTATAGCAGGAGGGAAAATTTGTCCTTATCTCTTCACTTCTGACAGAAACACTTTCCTGAAAGCAAAACGTTATTAGCTTAAGATGTTAAATTCTGCAATAGTAAGGGAAGTGGTGAGTAGGTTTCTAAATCTACAACTGCTTCAAAATTATGAAGATTATTCAAAGATAATAGGATACTGGGAGCTAAATCTTTTGCAAAAAGAGAGGCGACCAAGAGATGGAGGAGAGGAGAAAGAGATGAAAAAAAGAATTAAGATGTGTTCTGTGCATGTTCTGACGCCCCATGTGGAATGTGATCATTATGCACGACAAACACGTTCATACTACTAAAAAAACAAAACAAAACAAAACAAAACAAAACAAAAAAAACAGTTAAAAAATTAAACGAGTTTTGGTGAAAAAACCAAAAAAGATGGCGAAATTTTACTAGCTTAACCTCAAAGGTCAGTTCAAAACAATTCTCCACCTCGCTAAGGTTGTTTTCGCTCACTCCATTCCTGCTTAGCCAACACTAAAACAGGTACCAAGCCGCGCCTAGCGGGTACAACACACTTCACAGTCGCTCCTGGCCCTAGTGGAGCGCAAAAGCAGCAGAAACATCCCAGGGCTTCTGAGAAGACAGCCTCTTTCCCGCCTGAAGGGAGGCGGGGCGGGGCTAACTCGGGGCGGGGCTAGTCACTTACCTCGCCCCGCCCCTTCGTGGTTCTCCCCCGCCCCTTGGATTTCGTTACAATCCCGACAGGCCCCGCGACGAGGAGAGTCACGTGAGGGTGGGCGGTAGAGGGAGCGGCTGGATTTTGCTGGCTCTCAGTCTCTATGGTTGTCAGAGGTGGGCGGCTTTTACCCAGCCGCTAAAACTCCAGCGCGAACGGGTGAGTCCATAACTCCGAAGAGTGTAGGGAGACAGTTAGGGAAAGCAAAGAGGTTGGCGGAAAAGCTGTGGGGACCTGGCCTCCCATCCTCCCGGGGGATGCGGCGACTTCTTGGTGCCGGCGAGATAGCTGTCGGTCCCTGACACACTGGGCTCCGGGTGCTGAGGACTCCGTAGTCCTGCCTGCTTCCCACGGCCGGCTTTCCTTCACCTCTCTGCGCGCCTCCCGCCCTCGTCCCTGCCCGGGAGAACTTCTCCCAGTACGGGTTCCCCACCACAGGGTTCCTGGGCGCCGGTGTCCCTCGGCAGGTTCGCGACTGGGGGCGCGGGCGCCGGGACTGATCCCCGGGAATTTTGTGGATGGTCGGAAGCGGGCGCGGGAGTTTGCAGTTGGGTCTCTAGAGGCAGGTGTATTAGCCACTGACTCCGAAAAGTGGAAAATCACTGACGCTTTGGAGGAGTACAGCAAAGTGTAGGCTTCTCGGGTTGTTTAGTTTTGGCTTTCAGGCGCCTCTGCGTTCTCGTTTTCTCACCCCTTGTGTGAGTCTCAGTCTCTCTCTCTCTCTCTCTCTCTCTCTCTCTCTCTCTCTCTCTCTCTCTCCATTTCTCAAACTTCTCTCTGAAGTTTGTTTCGCACCATCCCATACTGGACCGTTTTAGGATGTTTTGAGAATAAGCCGGCTATTATTGACTGTGTGTGAATGTTGAAAGACTTTAAGACGGGTTGTTCTTGTTACCTCTATGATCTTAAAGTTTATAGTTTCTTCTTAGATGCCTGAAAAATATTGTGGATATTTTAAACATAAGTAGGATAAACATTTTACCGCCAAGAGAGAAAAGTAAAAATAGTTTATTCTTTCTGTCATACCTTGGAAACACTCATTTTCTCCCATTGTTTTCTAAATGAGTGTTATCAGATCTTTTGGGTGGCTTCTTTGACATATA